ACTTCGGCAACTGTCACGCCTACAAGGCGGGGCGAAAGGAGGCGCCTGGGGACCTGAGATCTGGATCGGCGGGCTCTCTCTCTCTGTTGCGGGACCCTGGACTAGAGAGGTGTACCAAGCAGAGCTCCAGAGAACACCGCTGGACTGCGATACACCTTCCCCAGACTCCGCGACCTACCTATCCCTTAATTTGTAAGTTACGCCATTAAATAAATCTCCTTTTATCTACGTGGAGTGGCCTTAATAATTTCACCAATAACAGATTTAAAAGTAACCGCTTCCCAGACAAACTTAATGATTGGTGTGAATCACGTATCATTCCTTTTGTCAACCATTCATGTTTTCCCGAAGGACCATGAATCTGTTATCAACAGGCCAGTCTGACTCACCTCAGGAAGCTTTTGTTGCTACTTCTTCCTGCTCAGCCTTAACTTCCCATAATGCACTATAGCTTACTGACCTCTTGATTATAGTCTACACATTCCGTCACAGCTCAGTACTCTGCTTATCCACGGGACATTTCTGTTCAGGGGTCTTCCATTTGTTCTTGCCTCTGCCTGCTTAGCTCATCCCTGAGGCCTTCACTTCCTTGACAGGAAAACAGTCCCTCTGGATAACTCAGAGTAACTCAATCAATGACTCTGTATCAGTTGCTTGTCTTGTTGCTGAGACAAGCCAGCTGACAGAAACAACCCAAGAAAGGGCTTACTCTGGCTCACCGTTCCAGGGGAATCTTCTAGCCCATGTCAGGGAAGCCATAGTGGCGGGAACGTGAGGTAGCCTCATCTGCAGTCACAGAGCAGAGGGCGATGAATGCTGGCACCCAGATCCTTCCCTCCTTCGCATTCAGTCCAGAACCCCAGCCATGGAATGATGCAGCAGCGCCCAGCCCATGGAATGATGCAGCACACAGTTAAGTTGGGTCTTTCTGGTCTAGATTGGGATAAGCATGCCCAGAGGCTTGTCTCTTGGGTCATTCTAGATCCTGTCATGTTGACAAGTAACAGAAACCATTTCACACATCAAACATTGTCTCCGCTTCCTTTGATTATTGGCATTACTGGTAGGAATTGTAGTAACGAGGGAACGAGAGGATCAGGTGATGGGAAGTGTAATAGTATCCTTCCCATATTAAGTCTTCCTTAATCTGGAGCTTGGGGCCGGGAGCCATGTAATTAGTATATGCCTGATCACTGCAGCGTCTGTGTCAGTTTGCAAACCCACATCTTCACAGCAACCCAAACACCACAACTGCCTATGAAAACAACCCCCTCTCCTTGAGCTTCCAAGCTGTACCCACCCGCCATACAATGGCCATAAACCATATCAGAATTTTATGTCACCCTCCATTCCTCTCTCCACCAGCTTTGGGATCTACTTCATTTTATGTACGGGTGATCTAAACATGCCTTAAAATAGTGAAAGAAAGTTTCCCATGAGGGATTCTGAAAAGATATGTTTCTCTTAACACAGACCCAATGACAACATAAAACTTCTTAAGACTGGAAATTGCCCTGTGTGGAGTGGTTTCTGGATCACTAATTGTTGGTTGTTTTCTTTACTTTTTTTTGGGGGGGGGGCACCACCCAGCTCCCAAATAAATCACACACAGAGGCTTATACTTAATTACAAATGCCTGGCCTTAGCTTGGCTTGTTTCTAGCCATCTTTTCTTAAATTATCCCGTCTATCTTTGGCCTTCAGGCTTTTATGTTTTACCTTTTTTTTTTGGTTTTTTGAGACAGGGTTTCTCAGTGTAGTTTTGGTGCCTGTCCTGGATCTCTCTGTGTAGACCAGGCTGGACTCGAACTCACAGAGATCCTCCTGGCTCTGCCTCCCGAGTGCTGGGATTAAAGGCGTGCGCCGCCGCCGCCGCCGCCGCCGCCGCCGCCGCCGCCGCCACCACCATCCGTGGGGCTTTTATCTTTCTCTAGTCATGCATACCTTTTCTTTCCTTCTTCTACACGTCTGGCTGTGTAGCTGGGTGGCTGGCCCCTGAAGTCCTCCCTCCTTCCTCTCTCATCCCTTGATCTCTCTTCTCAGATTTCTCCTTCTATTTATTCTCTCTGCCTGCCGTCCCCACCTATCCTTTCTCCTGCCTTGCTATTGGCCATTTAGTTCTTTATTAGACCACCAGGTGTGTTAGACAGGCAACGTGTCACAGCTTCACAGAGTTAAACAAATACAACATAAACAAAAGTAACACAGCTTAAAACAATATTCTACAACAACTAATATCCCCGTTTTTGTTTGTTTGCTTCTTTGTCCGAAACAAGTTTTCTCATTCTGTAGCCCTGGGTGGAGTGGAAATCACCATGTAGAATGGAGCTGGCCCCTCTGAGATCCACCCTCCTCTGCCTCCCCAGTGCTGAGGTTTAAGGTATGCACCACCATGCCTGGCCACTAATATCTTCTTTTAGTTGTGAAGCAAGTCTTAGGTTGAATGTAAGATGAATCTTTTTTTTGTTTTTTTTTTTTTTTTTGTTTTTCGAGACAGGGTTTCTCTGTGTAGCTTTGCGCCTTTCCTGGAACTCGCTTTGGAGACCAGGCTGGCCTCGAACTCACAGAGATCCGCCTGGCTCTGCCTCCCGAGTGCTGGGATTAAAGGCGTGCGCCACCACCGCCCGGCATAAGATGAATCTTAAATGGTCTTATCAATAAAAAACCTGGAGCCAGATACTGCGGTGAAAATTGAGAGATCAGAAAAGCAGAAAGAAGTCAACCACATTCTTACTGCTAGGAAATCCTTAGCCAAAGGGACAGCTACTTCCTGTATACTCACGCCTATAAACCTTTCTGTGTTCTGCCATCTTACTTCCTTTTTCCGCCCAGCTACATCACTTTCTCTCTCTGCCCAGCTCTATCACTTCCTGTCTGTCTGTACAGAACTCCAGACCTCTATGGTTAGTGCTGGGATTAAAGGCGTGTGCTACCACTGCCTGACCACTATGTTTAATATAGTGGCTAGCTCTGTCCTCTGATCTCCAGATAAGCTTTATTGGGGTGCACAAATAAAATATCACCACAGTTGAAGCCACTTTGGAGAATGGCAGAGAAGGTGGGGGAAGAAAATGACATGACACTTTGTAACATTCTTGACCCACTCTCTTCTGTGTGTGTGTTCATGTGTGTATGTATTTGTGATTGCACCTGCATGCATGTGAGGAGGCCAGAGGTCAACACTGTCTTCCTCAATTGCTTCTCTGCCTTACTTTTATATTTAAGGATTTATTTTTATGAGTATGTGTGTTTTGCCTGAATTATTTCTGGGCACCATGTGTGTGCCTGCAGATGTTGGAAGAGGGAGTCAGATCCCCTAAAACCAGAGTGGGAGATGATTGTGAGCCAGCAATTGGGTGCTGGGAGTTGAACCTGGGTCCTCTGGCAGAGCAGCCAGTGCTCTTAACCACTGAGCCATCACTCCAGCCTCTTTGCCATATAGTTTTTGAGATAGGGTCTTCCACTGAACCTGGAGTTCACTGATTGGCTTGAGCCCATGAATCATCTACCATGCCTTGCTTTTCTATGTGCTGGGGATTAAAACTAGCATCCTCATGCTTGCCTAGCCGGAACTTTACTTACTGAACCACCTCCCCAGCACCGGAGTAGTACTGTCATACCCACCAGAGGCCCTGCCTGTGCCTTCCAATGATGTATGTCTAAAGCTATGGCATGGCATTCTCATTGCATCCAAATTTGCCAGACACTGACTTCTAAGTCAACAACTATGGATTTTCATCACATAAGTAACCTTAGGCAAATTAACTTTTGTGTAATCTAATTCTCCTTCTGTAATGCAAAGAATAACATCTGATTGTAAAGAATGAGGTCAAGAGGGATTGATAGATGAAAGTGCCCATAGGCGGAGTGCTGTGAGGTCTACAGTCAGATAAAGATACAGTCAGGAAGTCTTCTAAGCCTGACCACTGACTCAGGAACCAACACACCTGGCTTTATAAGAGAATCTCATGAGCCATCCTGGAACTTATGATCCAGTATCACTTCCAAAAGCATTCTAGGCTCCAGGTAATCACCAATGAAACTGAGTTTAACAGAGGAGTATATGATATAGCATTCTTAGGCAGCAGGAGTTAGGATTTCCCGTTTCTAATTCTAGATCTGATCCTATCACACTTAGGCAAGTAGTAGGACCTTTCAGAACCTGTCTTGCTCATCTGCATGCCTGACCTATCTAACCTGCAGCCCTATGAGGGTCTGAAGGAAAATAACATTTGGTGTCAAGAGGTTTTATTTTGCCTTTACTTAGGCTAAGCAGACATGACCGCATCCACAACCGAGATTGGAGGAGGCACTGGCAACCCATCATTTCAGTGGAACAAGCCAGGAATGCTTTGGGGTGAAATTAACTATTAACTGTAGGACTATGCCTTCCTTCTTTTGCTATCTGAAGCCAAGGAGCTTCCATTCCGCTCAGGGAATATGACATAATTTTAAGTGATCGTGAGTCTGGTCATAGTTTGAGATCTGTGAAACTGTCTAGAAAAGTTAAAACATTAACGTTGGGAAAGAGCGGATTCGAATGTTTGCCCCCTAAGGGTATGCCTCCGACTGGCAAACACTTTCAATACTGTCTGTCTGTGGAACCCAAGTGTCTTGTAAGAAGGGAGCAAGACAGGAAAGAAGTAATGATGTATGCCTGCCGTGAAGCTTTGGCAAAAACTGGCAGGGCTTGGGGTAGCTACTAACCCGGGGCTTTGTGGCCCTTCTGGAGTACACGTAGCCTGACCTGGTCATTGGTGGAAATCAAACTTCTCCAGCAATTAACCTCCCAATTTCATCTTCGCCTGCACAACTGCAGCACAAACTCAGGTAAGACAGTCATAACCCCTCCACGTAGCCTGGCTTCGGGCTCCTGCACTTAGCCCCGCCCATCACAGACAAGCCCCGCCCACCAAACGCGAGCGACACGTCGCTCTGCGTTTTCCAATCAGAGCTGCACTTCTGAACTTTGACCGCCCAACTCATCAAGCTCTGCCCAACGCAGACAAGCCCCGCCCACAAGAGGGGCGCTTCGCTCCCAGTTTCTACTTTACGGGCGTACTTGCAACCTTTGACCGCTCGCACCGGAAATACTACGCGTGTGCTGGCCCTTCGCATGGTGAGCATTCTGATTTTGGCTGTCGCAGTGGGAGCGGTGACGATCTTGCTGGTCCAGAGACTATGGGCTGTGCTTCGGCCCCATCACGTCACTCCCCGAGAGTCGCTCGAACTCTTGATAGTAGCCGGATCTGGTAAGTATTCCGGAGGTGGCCGACGTACTTGTGTCTAGCACTACAAATCCCAGAGTGCACCGCGAGTCTCTTCGGCCTTCTTAGCGTCTTTAAGAGCGCTGCATGCTGAAATTTGTAGTTTTTCTGTGTTCCCGGAACCGGTTAGCCCGTAGCTGATGCCCCCAGCCACCTTGTCATTAAGACAAGTAATTTACACTTGTCTGTAATTAAGCCTCTCCGCAGTGTACAGCTTTCTAACAAATAATTAACGACGGAGTACACTGAAGCCTCTTGATGCTGACATACATTGTCTTCTTTGCTGCCGCGCGTTATTAATCTAGGGTTTTTGTATTTAGTTTAAGAAGCGTGAACATTCTATGGTAAACGAGGCAGAGTTGTCGCACTTATATAAATGTGCGAAGTCCTTGAGGATAAAAAAGTGGACGTTCCATACGACAATACCTTCAGAGTGAAAATTTAATTTTTAAAAATTAAAGTTTCAATATGAAAATTTAAAAACTTAAAATTTTAGATGAACAGTTTTAACGGGTGTATAGTCAGACATGACTTTACACAACCAAGGTGATACCCGATCTTATACATCAGTGCTATCTGGAATACATTTGTTGATCCAGGGGCGGGAAAACAAAATGAAATCAAGCCTAAGAGAAAATGATGCAGTCAAGAGACACAGCAAATCTGAGGTGTTTAAGGCTGCCTCTGCAACTGGGCTTACAGTTTTACGGTAAAATTTTAAAAATAGAACACTCTAATAAATTATATAATTTATATATAATAAATCAGTAATGTAGTTGTGTATTATCATTATATAGTGTTATGTATTGTGTATAAATATAGTATATGTTGTACTTTTTTATATGATAGGCAGCACAGTAAATTTGTTTATATAGCACTACAAACAGATTACCTTGGGCCACCATGTTATGATGATTGTCATGTCACTAGGCAATAAGGATTGTTCAGTTCCCTTTTAATCTCCTGTGACCACTGCCGAGTATACCATCATTAACTAAAGCATTATGTGATGAATAACTACACCCATGAAATAATAGTTATAATATAAGCAAACGTACCAAACTGACATGTAATTATAATTCCTTACTTATTTACTTAGCATATTTTGAGTCATTGGAAAGGCCAGACATTAAAGCTGAGCTCTGGAAAAAAAAAACTGAAAATAGAATAAATACGATAAAACAAATAATAGAATAAAACAAAATTGGTATCACTTGCCACAGACTAACGTCTGTGTGCCAAGCACTGGGAAAAGGACAGAGATACAGCGCGGTGAATGAAATAGAAAAGCCAACAGAAGGTGAAACAGAATGAGTAGTTACCTCACAGAGAACCAAAACCTCATATTAATCATATAAGAAGTACAAGTTATTTTAAGTGAGATGCAAAGCCAGAGCATTTACTTTGAGCAGAAGTAAAATATTTATCATTTTTTTTTTTAGTAGGAACACACTGGGTGTCGTGTTGAAAATAGCCACGAGAAGTAAAGGAAGTGGGGATGTGATCTATAAAAGCTGTATTCATAATTTATGTGAGAGCTAGAGCGGGATGGGAGCAGAGGAGGTGGTAAGAAGTGGAGGGACAGGGGAGGTGGCTCAGCAGTTAAGAGGACTTGTTCTTGTAGAGGACCAGAGTTTGACTCTCAGCACCCATGTGGTGGCTCACAACCATCTCTAACTCCAGCTCCAAGGATGTTGTAGGGATTCAGTGAAGTCCTGAGTGAATGTGTATTCTTGATGTAGTCATGCCATATTGTGGTAGTTTGAATGAAAATGGCCCCAGAGGCCCATAGGGACTGGCATTATTGGGAGGAGGTGTGGCCTTGTTGAAGTAGGTCTGGGGTTATTGGAGGAAGTGCGTCAGTGGCAGCAGACTTTGAAGTCTCAGAAGCTCAAGCCAGGTCTAGTGGCTCAGTGTTCTCGTCCTGCTGCCTGCAGATCCAGATGTAGAACTCTCAGCTACCTCTCCAGCACCATATCTGCTTGTATAAATACCATCATGCTTCCCACCATGAAAATAATGGGGTAAACCTCTGAACTGTATGTCAGCCCCAATTCAGTATTTTCCTTTATGGGTTGATGTAGTCATGGTGTCTCTTCACAGTAATAAAACCCTAACTAAGACATATATCAGGGACCTCAATGTCTCAGCCCCATGGTAGTGGCCAAACCTAGCTGAGGTGCAAAGGGATTACAAAGCCTTTCTCTGGTCCCAGTGAGAATGTTGATGGAGTATTCAGAAAATATCCACTGAAGCTCCCCCCACCCCAGTGTTTACAGCCTGAAAACTGCTCCCCTATAGAGACTGCTCCTACAGAGCTAATCTTGCCTCCTTGTCCAGCTGTATATAATAACCCTGTCTTCTTGTATATCACTATGTAATAACCCTTCTTTCCTGTTCAACTGTATATAGTAAACTCTATGAGCTTCTAGGGTCCTGAAGCTCCTTCTTCAGACTGCCCAGACCACCCAGTTCCAGCTTTTCTGTATGTGTGTCTGCATGTCTGTCCTTTCTTCATCCCCTCACCACCCAGTTAGGTCAATCGCAGGAGCTGTGCAGAGCACAGAGGATCCTACGTGCTCTTCTGACTCCCATGGTCACCAGGTAGTCAAATGGTGCACAGATGTGCATGCCAACAAAACCTTCATACACATTAAATAAATCTTTAAAAAATTAGAAAGTAAATTAGTGATTGGATGCTAGGTGTGTGTTAAGGTATAGCTAATAGTATTTTACCAGTTCCTATTGTTCACCAATGTTTCTGTTTTAAAGATTAACTTTTATTTATGCGTATATAGTTACATGTTTGTGTGTATGCCCATCTACTAAAAGGATTTTATCCCCCTATTTTAAAACAATGTTTATTTTTACTTATGTCTGTGTGTGTGTGTGTGTGTGTGTGTGTGTGTGTGTGTGTGTGTGCGCGCGCGCGCGTGTACATGCCTGCAGGGGCCTGAAGAGGTTATCGGATCCCCCTGGAGCTGGAGTTACATATGGTTTTGAGCTGCCTAATGTGGGTGCTGGAAATGAAACCGGTGTCCTCTGGAAGAGCAGCAAGTACTCTTAACCACTGAGCCATCTTTTTGGCCCCCTCCCCTAATATAATAAAAGACCCTCAGTAGCATAGTCAGTCATTTTAATGACTTTATTTAGTAACAGGGTCAATAATTTTAGTGACTGCACTTAGTAACCAGGTTAAATTTTCAGTGAGTGTTTCCTTTAAACAACAGAGGGGGCAGTATTCCAGAAAGTCTTATGAAGCTCCTATTTCATTGTCGATATTAGATTTTATCTGTGAGGGAAAAACAAAAATAAAAACAAAAAAACTACTTGGCAAACCGCAACACTTTTTCAAGGCCCCAAATGAAAATACTAAAGTTGAAAGCAGATGTGTCAATCACATGCCCCAGGGAAGAAGACGCACAGTAAGTGACAAAGTGAGCCTGTGACTCTAGTTCCTGAAGTGCACTCGCAGCGACGCCACATTCCTTTCTGATTCATTCTAGAACCTGGAAGAACGGGCTTTCTCCTATGAAAAGACCCGAGGAGGGGAAACACGCATTTTGTGTGCTTATCTTTCTGTGTGTTCATGTCTTACTAAAACCTCATTTTCAGGACAACCAAGGGAATGGGGATGAAGGAGCTTCTAGGTAAGAGATAACAGCCTGACCAAAGGCAAGGAGGGTGAAATGAGCAAGATGGGTGTAGCGAATGCTAAAGGGATTGGCCTGGCTCCACCACAGGGCTTGTGAAATAGAACGGCAACCGTTACAGCTGATAAGGGATTTGATTGCATAGCTTCAGTGGTGTGTGGTGTCTGGTCTTCTGTAGTAATCGTGATACTTCTCTATGAACTAGAGGGACATGCGCTTGGCTCTCCTTCCCTATCCATGTGTTTTGCATCTTCAGATCCAAAATACTGGAAAAAGAATGCATTCATAATGAACACGTACAAACTTTCATTATTCCTTAAAAAATACAATATACTATTTAGCTAACATTTACATTGTATTAACTAAGTAATTAAGGGATGATTTAAAATGTATAGGAGGAAGTGTGTAGGTGATATGTAAAAATGACACAGTTTATTTGTAAAGAACTTGAGCACATGGAGATTTGGGGTTCTGTGGGGGACCCAGAATCCTGTGCCCCACAGGTACTGAGGGGATGACTGTAATTGATTTTTAATAAAAGCCTTCTGTTTTAATTAATGTGTGTGTGTGTGTGGAGGGTGGCTTGGGAGGTTAGAAGAAGGTGTCCTGTCTCCTGGAGCTGGAGTTATAGGCAGTTGTGAGTCATTCCATGCGGTTGCTGGGAGCTGAACTCCAGCCCTCTGCAAGAGCAGGGAGAGCTCTTAACTGCTGAACCACCTCTCCAGCCCCCACTGGAACTGACTTTTAAAGTTGCAATTTTGTGAATAAAGTGTTAACATTTTTTAGATAGCATATTTTAAGAAACTGAATGTAGACTCCTTTGATGGAACTGGTCACCAGTTGAAGACCTCAGTGTGCTGAGACCTCTGCTACGCTAGGATCTGAGGTTGGAGTGGCCAGCAGTGTTCTTCCAGGGAGCTTACACCCTCAAGTCAGAGCATTACGTCATTTCTCACACAGAACCCTCCTTGTCTTGTCTTCATCCTGCTTGCCTGACCTGACTCCACCTTTACCCTTGTTCCCAGCATTCCTGTTGCCCCATGAAAACAGCTCAGATCTTACTGCCATGCTCTGAGGATCCTGCCTCTGCCCAAAGGCCTCCTGCTCCTGCCCATCTGTTGTTCTCACATTTCCAGTTTCCGTAGCTTTTTTCCAGGGCCGTGCTTGGTTTGAGGGTGCTGCTTTTCCCCGTAACCCTTTGTCATCCCATTTTAGTGGCTTTTTCCTGCCTCGCATTCTCTTTATGTGTTTATCTTGCCCCCCCCCAGCTTTCTTGATTTCCTGAAATCAAGAAAGTGTCTTATACTTCCATGTACCATCCTTGTTTTTTTTAAATGATAGTGTCAATTTTTAAAATGCATTTATTATCTTCTGTGTAAAAGTAGTATGTAGCTAGAGTTTTCCTGCCTGGCCCACAGTCAGGACAAGTCTCTCTCACCTGCCAGTCCCACAGCCGCTCAGACCCGACCAAGTAAACACAGAGACTTATATTGCTTACAAACTGTATGGCTGTACCAGGCTTCTTGCTAACTGTTCTTACAGCTTAAATTAATCCATTTCTATTAATCTACACCTTGCCACATGGCTCGTGGCTTACCGGCATCTTCACATGCAGCTTGTCATCATTGCGGCTGGCAGTGTCTCTCTGACTCAGCCTTCCACTTCCCAGAATTCTTCTCCTCCTTGTCCCGCCTATACTTCCTCCTGCCTGACTACTGACCAATCAGTGTTTTATTTACTAACCAATCAGAGCAACACATTTGCCATACAGAACATCCCACAGCAGTAGTACTTATACAAGGGCATAATTTGTATTTCTATGTTCATATTCACATGTCTTTTGGGAAATATGCAGTTACATTAGTGCCCCACCTCTGAAAAACACGACACTGGTATAATGTGGTGAGATGTTTCCATGTGTCCATAGTAGGTTACTTCTTTAAATTAAGATTTTATTTTTAATTGTGTGTATGTGCGTGTCTATGTGGGGAGTATGTGCATGTGTTTACAGGTGACCGTGGAAGCATCAGAATCTTTGAAGCTGGAGTTTCCCAACATGGGTGCTCAGGACTGAACCTGGGTCCTCTACAAGAGAAGTACACACTCTTAAGCACTGAGCCATCTCTCCAGCCCACACTGTGTTTCTTCTCCCTTTTTTCCTCAGATTTATTTTATAAGTATGCATGGCTTGCTTGTGTGTGGGTATGTGTACTGTGTGCCTGCCTGGTGCCAGTGGAGCGCAGAAGAGGGTGTCAGGTCCCCTGGAACTGGAGGATGGACATGAGACACAAGAGCAGCAAGTACTCCTGACCACTCAGCTGCCTCTCCGATGACCCCTCCCCATGCTGTTTCTTCCACTGAGGCCGCATTGTATTTGTTTCCAGGTGGACACACCACGGAGATCTTGAGGCTGGTTGGAAGCTTGTCCCGTGCTTACTCACCTAGGCATTATGTCATTGCTGAGTCTGACGAGATGAGTGCCAGCAAAATTCATGCTTTTGAACGTTCTCGAGCTGAGAGAGACTCTACTACGGAGGTACATGATCATTCCTGTAAACTGCAAGCTGCCCATCGAGGTTACTTATCTCTGAAAATAATTCCATGGTGTTTCAGTGCCCTGCCCACAATAGGCAATACAATGTGTACTGGTGAAGAAATATGTATCCTTTACTATCAAGAGAAAAAAATTTCCTTAAATCTTCAAATTAAAGATAGTTCTTACTCTCTTATATTATTATTTTAGAGAAAACAGTTTTTCATTGAATTTCAGTTGTGAAAATTGTTTTGATTTATAGTTACATATATAAGGCATTCAGGATTACACTTCTTGGGTCTTCATTAAAGTTCTTTATTAATGTGTTATATTTATCATACTTAGATCTGTGAACGCTTTGTCTTCAAATCATATTTTTTTTGTTTTTTGGTTTTTGGTTTTTCGAGACAGGGTTTCTCTGTGTAGCTTTGCGCCTTTCCTGGAACTCACTTGGTAGCCCAGGCTGGCCTCAAACTCACAGAGATCCGCCTGCCTCTGCTTCCCGAGTGCTGAGATTAAAGGCATGCGCCACCGCTGCCCGGCCAAATCATATTTGTATTCACCTTTAGAATTATTTCTCTATCCCCTGTTGATGACTTTATTTTAGCATTTTAATTAGTGATATAAAAAAAAGTGAGGCAAAAACAAAAGAAGAAAAAGAAAAGGTGAAATCGCATCTTTATTGAAGAAGAGTTGCTCCTTGTGTGACATTGCATCTTTTTCTGTAGAAGTTACCCAGCACAGGGCTGTATCAGGTAGCTCAAAAGAGGACAGTGGATGAAACTCAGGCCATCAGAGTCTGGGACCCAGAGAACAGAATTCGTCTCCCTAGGGGCAAGCCCTGTACAAGATAAAACTGGGAAGCTATTGGTTCATGTTCTCATCAGCAGATGAAGATGGTTTCTAGGCAGAAGACTGAAGATAATGTACAAGAGTAAGATAGAAACCAGGTGATGAGTCTTGCCTTCTGTGGCTGAGGGACTCTGCTGTATCATGTTGAGCCTGGTTGGCTGGTTCTTGGTTGGACATCAAGGTCCACTAAATGGAGCTCCCCCCTCTCCCTTTAGTCCCCACCCCACCACACACCCTCACACACACCAATTTTTTAATAAGTCGTTGTAACTCGTAATTATTATCCCAAGCTAACATACTGTTAAAATACACTCTTGCAAAGTACGCTCTACATCAAACAAGATCAGAATATGAATTCAGCCGTCCAGAAACGTGTGGCACTTTCCCTATGTGTGAGACCAGCTGATGCTTCCATTTCTGTTTTAGGGAGCAAGCCTGTAAGTTCCCAGGACTGCTCTCACAGTAGTAAGACCACAAACCAGGCAGCTCAAACACATGGATTCTCTTGGAGTTCTGCAGGCTGGAAGTCTGAAGTCAAGGGGTCACGGCATCACGCCTCCTCAGAAGTCTCTAGGAAAGACGCCCTCCTTGCCTTTTCCTGGCTTCCAGTGTTTGCTGGTAGCCCTCAGCCTGCATTAGCTTGTAGCTGCGTCCTTCCAGTCTCTCCTGCTGTAGCCACATGGCCTTTCTGTCTTCGTCTGCCTGTCCTGTGAGGATGCTGGTTGATTTAAGCTGTTTTTAAATGCTGGTGTATCTCATCATCAAAGTGGCACCCCAGTAAGGAAGGAACATCTCTATTTGATACCTTCCCTCTGCCACTTCTTTTCTTGCTGAGGCAACCCAGCCACTGTTAGGAGCAATGGTGTCCCGTTCTGAAGGGATCTCTTTTCTTGAATCTAGTACCGGAAAAAAGATGTAGGGAAGAGTTGTCCTTTGTGCTGCTTAGTGCTGAGTACCACTCTCCTGCATACACCCCCCTATCCCCACCTTTGTGTCTATGTGTCTGTCTGGGTAGGGCAGTGTAGGGGATTGGAGAGGCCAGCAAGGCATGCTGAAGGAAAGCTGCCACCTACTGGCCGTAACTAGGAGCTGTCTCCCCGACAGCCAACTTTTCTCCCCTCCTCAGAGCTTAGCAGGACTAGGATAAGGAAGGGTCTGGTTGAGGAACACAGTGGTGACCGCACATGTGCTGGAAGAGCCCATCTGAGTCATGAATACAGAAGGATCTGGAACTAGACTGTGCAGTATAGCAACCATCTGCCACATGTGGCTTTTCACATCTCGGTTTAAATTAATTAAATGAAATTGGAAAGTTGGTCCAGCAGTTGCGCTAGGCCATTTCTAATACTTGCTAACCCCCTGAGGTTGGCAGCCCAGGAGACAATAGAGCATTTCTGTTGATGCGGGAACTTACATGATGCCTATCTAGACGTGTGTTTAGATTATAAGTTGAAAATGAAACCTGATCAGACATTGTGAAGAGAACCAGGAGGTTCAAAGCAGAGACTTCTGCCAGAAGTTAATATAAAAGGACAGAATATGTTTTTTACTTCATGCTGTCATTGAAATTCAGGGGAAAGTCCATTAATTAAACAGATATAATTTGCTTTGCAAAGAAGCAATCTCAAAACAAGAAAGATTCCCTGGAAGAATTAACAAAAAAGATTACCACAGTTAGACTTTCCAAGTTAATACTTATTCATGGATTACCCAGGGTCCGGGGATTTCGCTACTTCCAGCATGGGATATCTGAGGGTAAAAATCTACGTACACTATGCTCTTATATCTGTTAACTTTATTCCTCTAAGACAAAACTTTATCTACACAGCTACAGCTCCATCAGGTATTCAGGGCAGGAATAACTCTAGACGCACCAAGCCCCTTGTCTGTCTACTTTATTTCTCCGGGGTGAAATCCATAGCTTCAGTTCCGTCCGGTTCCTTCTCATAGTCCTGCTAACGACTAAGCTCCTATGCTCAGCCTCATCTTCGTCCTCTGTTTCTTCATTCTCCATCTCTACTACTCTCTACTCCTGACTCAAGAGTTCTGCCTTACCATCTACATTACCTCTACGTTCTTCTCTTCTCCCTGGTTGCGCTGTTCTTTCTGCCCTACAGAAAATGCCTGTCTTTCTTTCCCTGGCCAGGTGGTTCTCTGCCTCCTCAGGAAGGTTGTTCTACCTTCCACCTTGATAATGTGGAAACCTCTCTTGTTCTCAGTCAGTTGCTCTGGAGAGCTACTAGGCCTCAAGGTGAGGAGATGGTCTGAGCTTCATTTGTACGAGAAACAAAGCTATGCATCTCCTACCAGCTTGTCTTTGCCTAAGCGACATTATCCAAGTACTGGCTCCAGCAGGGAGGTTAGTTACCTAGAAGTTCAGCAGGTCTGAGGAGCTGAACTGTTTGCCAATCGGTCTGGGAGTATTTGGGCATGCAAGAATTTCATAGCAGAAGACAGCTGAAATATTAAGAGCTGGATAACACCAAATATTCATAATAAATGGCTTGCCTTTTGACAGACCCTTGGCCAGTCAAAGTATAGCTTAACACACAGCTGAATCTCTATAATATATTCTTGTGGCCCGCCACACTTACTAGGTTAATATTGCTGAAAATATTCACGGATCAGTAGTTGAACTTAAAGGAATTCTCTGGGGTAAAGCGCAAACAATTGGGGGGACATCATGAAATGTTAAAAATGGGAGGAAAGGAAAAAAAGAGTCCACAGTAGATTTTGCAAGGCAAGCACTTGTCTATCAGATTATCTTTGTTTTAATGTAATTAAACCTCAGGATGAACTTGGAATATAGGCCAGTGATAAAGCGCTTGCCTAGCATGCTCAAGTCCCTGTGTTCAGTCCTCAGTGCTGTGAGGAAAGAACTGACCCAGGGTGACACTGGCAGCCATGTAAGCCCAGCTTATCCCTGTTCCTTGTATACTGAGCCCTTCTCCTTGGTTCAGGTATTTCCTTGAGTGTGTGTTTTAGGAAGGGCAGTGTATCTTCAGGGTGTTTCCATGTCTGAGAGTCTTCGTTGTGACATTATACCCCAAGCATTCTTTGGCTTGGAGTACAACTTCTGATCCTTCTTGCCTATATGTCTAGAAATACAATTGCACACCACCATATCCAGCTTTATAGCATTCTGGGGATCAAATGCAAGGCTTTCTGTATTAAGGCGAGCACTCTGTCAGCTGAGCTACATTCCCAGCCAACATTTGCCCATTGTGTATGAAATCATCTTACCATAAATGTATATGGTATACATATATAGCTGCATATATGTAAATAAAAAGGTTCTATGTCTATAGTTTCTTTCTGCTTGTTCTTTCACTGTTTCATGATGAACAGAAGGTTTAGACTTCAAAGTCAGAGTTGTACTCAAATGATACTTGCTAAAAGTTCAGTGTTTTGTTTTTACTCCATCTGTCATGGTTTGAATGAGAACGGCCCCCGTAAGCTCATATGTTTGAATGCTTCTTCCCCAGTTAGTGGAACTGTTTGAGAAGGATTAGGAGATGTGATCTCTCTCTTTCTCTCTCTTCCTCTTTCTCCCCCACCCCCCAACACCTGCTGGAGGATCAGGAGGTAAAGTTCCCAGCTTCTGTTCCAGTGCCGTGCCTGTCTGCTTCCCACCATAATTATCATGAACTAGCCCTCTGAAGCCGTAAGGAAGTCCCCAATTCAGTGCCTTCCTTTATAAGTTGCCTTGATCATAGTGTTTCCTCACAGCAATAGAACAGTAACTAAGACACTATCTACAACTGATTTTTCTGTATAATATTTGAAATGAATCTAATTTCTATGTGGTAAAACAGTTGTCTCAACCCAGTACCATTCATTAAACAGTCCATTCCCTATGCTTCCATATATGCAGAAGCTCATAGGCCTTTAATTCTAGCACTCAGTAGGCAGAGGTATCTGTGAGTTTGAGGCCAGCCTGGTCTACATAGTGAGTTCTAGAAAAGCCATAGCTATATAGAGAGACCATGTCTCAAACAAAACAAAAACACAAAGTCTGGCCCTTAGCTCTCTATTTACTGGCCCATTTGTCCATACGAAGTCAGTACTAAATCCCATTAGTTGTTTTATTCAGAACTGTTTAGTTTTTCTTCCTTTTTTTTTTTTTTCTTTTGATACAGTGTTTCTCTGTG